AGACAGACCATTCTGTAGTCAAATTCAGTATCAAAACAAAGGCCTAGCAATTGGTATGAAACAAGTCAGCCAAATTACGAGACAATAATAGGTTAAATTTGCTAACAAGGTCATTATAACGACCATAAAATTACGAAATGCCGTAGATGTATTGAGAATTAATTCAGTACCTATTGGGGAACAAGAATGGAGACACGGGAATTTCACTATTTTTTTTTTTACTTTGGACTGTTTGGCCAATGTAACAAATACTTACGACAAAAGTCCATATAGATATATGTCATATATAAATTATATAAGGTAAGATAAGTATGAAATGACAAGAGCAATGCAGGATCCCTTTTATTTAGAGCCCATCAGGCTCTATAAAAGTCGAAACACATGTATTTATTAAGTGCCTTATATAGCCAGATAAAAAAAAACTTTGCGTAGGTAATTGCCACACTTGGGTACAAGTTATATTAATAATTGTGACAGTTCAGCTGCCAACTTCAAACTTGCAGTATACCTCAATAAAACGAGGATTTTAGTGATTATTTTATCTACAAATTGCTGCATTTGATTCATATGGAAGATAAATAAACACTAATTATGGATGAATTATGTGTACATAAAAACACGTCTTATAATTTAAAAGCACAGGGTCGAGGTCGTCTTTTCATGTCAGCTGCCATTGCTGCTTACTTAACGTGAGTTAACGAAACATGCCGATAGAAGCTTTTACTAATATAATTATACACGCCAACTATATCTGCAGAAGTACTAACTTTCTTTAATCTTATTTTGCACATTTTAATTATTGGCACTCGTAATATTTACGTAAAATCCATTATTTGTGTTCCACGTCATAAGATTACCTTGGTAAATGTGCATTTCCGGTTAAATTTCTATATATACAAGTGCACTGACGCAGTTGTATTGGATTGGGATTGAGAGAGCACCACGTACGTTTATAAATAGTTAGTTGGAGGAAATTGATTGCGTGTCTGTCTAAGACTTTTCAAAACCTCCAATATTTTTATTATAATTATTTAATTACTTGTATTTATGACAAATTTCAACCCCCATTCATCAACCTTCTCTTTTCGTTTATTGTCATGTATTAGAAAATCGTTGTACTGAGTACGCTCGCGGACAAGTTACAATAACTATTTGTGAAGTCTTATAAACGAAGGTATTCATGATTCCAGATATGTTTTCTCTTCGTCAAACTTCAAAGGCAATCAATGAATAGGCAAGAATGCGTATAAAGTTAGTCATTTATGATGGAAGAAAAGAAAATAAACTCTTGTAATTTTGTAAAGTAAAATAATTCTAGACGGAAGAGATAATACACGTCAAAATTACCAAGAATAGATACATCATGTAATACATATATATTGTACAACAATAATATAATGGAATATGGGAGGGTTACAAAATAAATAATATGAATTACAACTTTTGGGGGGTTATGTAACCAAATGCTCCATGGACTGACATTACAGTCGGCTTGTTTCTGTTTACTTTGATGTTATTAGCTTGCTAGACTAACTCTTCATCTCCAATTTGTAGTATCAGTGCCGTTTATAAGGAGGACAGTACGAGTTTATATTAAAATATCAAAAGGATAATGCGATGAAAGGTGAAGATAACAAACAATCATCGGTCTCAAAAAATCTACAAATAATACATATCTGTGAACAGGGCAATGAAACTGGACCCCGGAAATTCCATTGGTGAGTGCCTAGGAGGAGTAAACATGCCCTGTTGACCGGTAACATCCACCGTGAGCACTATGTACGTATTGATCAAACAGGCGGAACATTCCGTAGTCAAACTGAGTATAAAAACAAAAGCCTAACAATTGCTATGAAACACTATGCATGCAATGCCTGTTACATCAACTTATCCGTCAGTAGCCCGCATCAGTTCAGAAATTGATCGTACTCAAAGCTTGCTCTTGAGTATCGAATAAGTTGGGAAACACAAAGTCCACATACATGTGGGGCGAAATATTACTACATAAATAGAGAAAGTTGACGATGGAAAAGTTGAAGTCATCTCGTTTGTCATACAAATTAGTTGTTAGTTGGTTCCTAACGTCTGATATCAGTAAAGCATCCAAAATTGTAACCGATGTGAACAGCTCTGTGGTGTCTTTTATTTCAAGTTCATTTGGATGGATCGAGAAGACATGATGATTGATGTAACTATTGTTAATTGATAAAACTTCGTCGATATATTTAATTTTGAAGCCAAAGCAATTTTTTTTTTCTTCTCATGTAGAAGTTTTTGAGACAATTCTGCTTTATAAGAATATAAAAACAAGTCGGCTAATAAAGCAGTATAATAAGTGCGGAATTCCAACAGTTTGTTGTAAGACCTGGTCTCCGAAGACTACATAAATATTGTCAAATAGTAACTCTAGCATCCTTTTAGTATCAACTTCAGAGTATTTCGTGAAGAATCAAAGTGTTTTTTAACAAAGTAATTTTGTTAATGACCAATTGCAAAATGCGAATATTTCCGTGTTCCATTTTTATTGAAGAGCAGACGCCTATAATATCAAACAGCGTAGTTTTTAATATATCTCGAGGACTGGTTGTATAAAGTATACAAAAGTCGTATGTTTTTATGTTGAATTTGGTGATTCCTCATTTTGAGATTCTTTGAATTTTGAGAATTCACATCTGATTTAAACCACTTTTAGGTTTATTTTTTTCTTTAAAATAGGTTTTCTTAAGTCGCGAATTATAGCAACTCAGTAAATTTTCTTCTTCGCTCCATATGCTAAGGGTGTTTTTGTTCTGAACCTATACTTATATTTAATTAAATATTATTTTTCAGAAGAGGTCAGGATCGATTATTGTATAAATTATTGTTTTATATATATAATTGTTTTATTAAATTACTGTTTTTTAGAGAGAGAAAGAGACTTTAGGCAACCAAGATACATGCACTAACTTAAAAATATGGATATATATTTGAATCCTGTGGTAATATTTAGAAATTTATTTCAAAAATAAGGATTATCTCCCTCATGCATAGCTTTGATCCTTCAAGGTATTTGGCTCCAGTTTTTGGCATCTTTTTCAGGTCTTCCAAGTTTTTTTTTATTTAAATATTTTGTAATTCCAACGTTTCGGCTTGAGCATCACTGAAGAGACATAATTTGTCAAAATGTGCATCAAAATTGGTACCGTATATGATTTACATATATGGATAAAATCCAGTTTTATGTACAATGTAAAAAAAATCAATCCATTCACACAATACAAATTATAAATAGAGGTGGGATCTTAATTATAGTTATATCTCTGATGTACTGTATATCATTGTGTGTATAGTTTTTTATTCTATACATCCGGTTTGAAATTAATGACATAATGAAAGAGAGAGTTGAATAAACATGGTGGTAGATCGCCGAATTTCCATGAAGCCTGACGATCCTATGTAGGCCCATCAGCTGATGGTGAAAACCCTGCTCATCTGATATTGGAATTGACTGGACAGAAGTTTAAAAAAAAAATACAATCCAGTAAGAATGCGCGGGAAAAGGGGATTACGATAAGAGGAATACAGATATGGAACCGAAATAAAGCTTATAAGTTCATTTAAACAAAACAACTGGGAGCAGAACAAACAAAAGGATTTCTTAAAAAAAAAATCAGAGGTGGGATAAGATGCCATTGAGGAAGTATCCCTTGCCGACCGGTCACACATGCCGCGCATCCGCCACGATCGGACAAAGGAAAAAATCGGCAGACAATTCATGGTGAAAATAATGCTCGTTTATCAATGTTGTCAGGCCTATTGTTTATCAGACTGGAATTCTTGGTTGTGCAAACAGACAACAGCACACACCTTTGTTTATGTCTTTTAGAGAGGCAGGCAGTAGATGTCTAAACGCCTAGAAACCCTACATGGCTTTTAGCTAATTAGTTAGGAGCCATTGCATAGTGTAGGTTCCTCGGTTACAAAACATGATTTAGGGTGGAGAAGCAGGAAGGATGAAAAGACTTGGGACTTGACTGAAAATAGAATTCAGATATGGTGGCAAGCTTATTCTGGTTTCAAAGTTTTTGATATTGCAGTTCGCATTAAAGATTTACTATATTTCATTTCAGTTCATGGTGTGGATAATAACACCGTAACCCCTCTTGTAACACAAAAGCTTAATGAAGCAAGACCTCTCTCTAAATGAGCTGACCTATTCCTAAGTACACGTCAAAGTAAGGATATCCGAGAACAAAGGGGTCTTGGATATTTTTAAAGGGGTTGGGGAAAGTTTTCCCATATACTGAATGTTAGTAGGTTTAACCGTTTAAGTTTAGCTTTATTCTTTATTTTTTTCTTCTGAAAACAGCAGAGAATGTTCCTTTAAAAAAAAACAACAAGTGTAATTTAAACTGTTCCAACCAAGATTGTACAAGTATAACTTGGGTAGTTATTAAATTCATTCCTTATAATTTATTTTTCCAGGCTATCATTACCTAAACTGAAAATCGTTTTATTGATTTTGGAATAAAATATGAATGAAGGAATAATTCAAGTGCATAACCAGAGACTCTTCTCGCCAATAGTCATGCTTTTCGTTAAACTTATCTTTTTCATGTCATGTATTGTTACAGGAATTTTACAAAAGTTCAATAAAATAAATTTTTCTTCCTATTTTACATCGGATTGTAAATCTGCATTCGTAAACAGCTTGCTCCATTGTGTTAGTCTCTGTAACGAGGAAAATTTAGTGTCTTTCTTTTACCATCCGTCAAAGAGGTTGTGTCGCTGGGACTGTGTCGTTCTATATTCAGACACCTCTGTGTCTGAATACAGTGAATGGTGTCAATTCGGTAAGTACGACAATTTACAAATATGATATTTTTGTAGCTTTAATATTTCCTTATTCCCGAAATTAAAAAATTTGAACTTTTTCTATTTAAATCAAAAGTACAGTCATATCTGCAACAGTGGGAAAGGAAAAGATACGATGGTTTTTTTTTTTTACTTTTCTTTATATTAGAACGTTCATCGAATGGAAATTCGGCTTTGGGAAAGCCAATAACATCTTCGTCAATGTTTGACTCTATTGATCCCCCTACTCTAGCCGTGGATGGAATTCTTTCTTCCTCAGTCGCGAAAGGACACCGTTGTTTTGTATCCAAGTTCGAACATATGCCATTCTTTCAGGTTGATTTAAGAATCGTTCACGATATATCCTTTGTCAGAATTTTTAACAGAATGGATGTTGCTGGTAAGAACTCTGCTTTCTAGTCTAGAACATCATATATATGATTTTTTTTCTTTTAAGCTAGTTCATAAATTAAAGGCTTGGTCCATATTGTGGCGAAGAGGGGCGTAATGAACTCCAAATTAAAAGGTGATATACCTTCGAAGAAAAATTACTTGAAACAAAATAGTCGTGCCTTTTGAGCACTTGAGGACGGAAAACATCTTATGATGAAGTATTTATCTGCCATACTATAATATCTTTCTTCAAGTCAATTGGCGTAATGTTGATGTGTTTTCTTGCTATAACGTCTTACTTGAAGTCAATTGTCCTATTGTTGATGTTTTGCCATGCTATAATATCTTACTTTAATTCAATTACCGTAATGTTGATGTGTTGCCATGCTATAATAACTTCAATATTGCCAATTGTAGTAGTTTTGCCGTGTTATCTTTTGAAAACGAATATTCTAATATTCCTAAAAAGTATATATGAATATGCAGACTTTTATACATTATCAATTCCTACGGGACAGAAGTTTGTTAAAGTACAAGCGAATTTTCACTATACATCCCGATTGATGTTCAGATGTTTATCATGCCTGATATTGATTCTAATAAACTTTTCACGCCATATTTGAATTAAAGCTTGAATTTAATAATTCTCTTTATTACAATTTCAACAGTGAAATACTGTGATTTATTTATTGAACAAAAGTGATATTCTCTCACAGTGTGAAAGGATACCAAAATAATATTCTGTCACAGTGTGAAAGGATATCAAAATTGGTAAAAAAAAAAATATTTTCTTGCTTGTAATTAGATGGAAATATTAACTAAACCATCTTGATAGAGACTAAATTAAAATGCCAACTTCTTCCCAAATATGTTGCTAAAATCCATGTTACAATGATTTCAATCTCACAACTGCTAAGCTATGACGTCTCAACTGCTCAACTATGACGTCACAGCCTGTGACACTGTGTTAATTGTTGTAGCGGGATAAGGAATCTATTTCACTTGCGATCGTGAGACAGGATTTTTTTTTTTGATATTTCAAACTGCATTGCATTCCTGAAAATATCAAAAAATTCTTTCCCACTCATGATCAAGAAATAAATTCCAAAAGTACAAAACATTGAATATCCTCTATATCTGTCTTCTCCTTCGAAGGCTTAAAATATTGCAATGGTTGGGTGTATTATCTGACACTACAGCATGCATAACATGCATAATATTGGATAAAAAAAGTTGTTAATTACATGTAAATGTATACTTTTATGTTTATGTGCAGGAGAAAGATTTCAAAACGCCTCCATTTTAGCCTCCGTGGATGGAGTGCAGTACAAGACTTGTGGATCCTTCAAAGGCCCTGGACTTACACGACAAGTTATCGACATAGCTTGCGCAGAAGAGACTAATGGGCGATTTGTAAAAGTTCAAATTCTAAATAACTTCTTACAGTTGTGTGAGGTACAGGTATACACACTGTGATTCTTTTTTATTTGAATCTCCTTATGTTTATTGACTTCATGTACAATTGGTATAGATTTCTACTACAACATTTGATGTTTTAAAAATAAAAATTTTGACTGATTCACTTCATTTGTAAATAATCGGTATTCTCTTTTAGTCAATTAAAATGTTATCATATTTTGTTATGGAATTTATATTCATCATTTAAAATGTATCCTAGATTTTGTAAATATATTAAATGAAATTAGAACGCATTCAAATAAACACAAATAAAAACAATAACTATTTTTTAAGATTTAATATACAACAGATATAGTGATTATGGTACACTTTCCAACAAAAAATAACATATAACAAATAATAAAGAGAATAATATTCTAATGCTTTTCTGGCAATCTTGTGTGCTCTCTGAAATTCCCTAAATATATGATTATATCTAGACGTACTGATAAAAATACTTGAGGCTCTTGATTGCTCATTATTGCAGTAAATTGTCGCTGGGGCTATGTGTGCGCCTACTTTAAAATAGACAAAAGTGAGAGTACAAGGAGTAAAAATGCGGTATTTTTACCGTGATGTATTTTAACTTCATTTAAAATAAAATAAAATGTGTTGTATTCAATGTTTATGTTTCAAGGGCATTAAGATTAATCAGGGCTTAAATTTATTCTGTTTTAGCGGTTACCTTTCTATGTCTATGACAGTAATTCAGGGGTACTGTACAACAATATATTCGAGAAGTGGTGCAAATCGGATGTGGATGTTTAAAAACTCCAAGGAACTTTAAGAAAATTTGAAATCACAAAACTTTACTAAAATCAATGACATTAGAGGTATGACTTTTAAACACTTTATACAACCATTTCCCACGATAAATTGAAGTCCAGGCTTTTTGACATCATAGACAGGTGCTTTTTCAATAAAAATGGAAGTCGTAAACTAACGTACTTTATCATTGGTCATTTGCAAAATTATTTTGCTTAAAACATTCTGATTGTACACACAAGTACTCTGAAGTAGATATTAGAAAAATGCTTTATTTTCTCGATGGCAATATCTATGAAGTATTTGGAGATCAGGTCTTCAAATGATCTGTCGGAATTCCCATGCGCCCCTTTAGTAGCAGACCTATTTTTGTATTCAGATGAAGCAGAATTTATTCAAAATCTTATACATGAGAAAAAAAAGACACTCACTCTGGCCTTCAACTCGACATTTAAATATTATCATTTAACAATAGTTACTTCCATTCATATATCTACTCGATATATCCCAGTGAACTTGATATAAAAAAAATACCCTAGATCCTGTTTTATATTTGGATATTTTACTAGAAAAAGACTTTAATGATAACTTAATAACAAAACTTTATGATCTTACGTATATAGTTATATACCCTTATTACCTGGTTTACATTTCCCAGTTAATTCAATACATAAGAACATGCTCTAAGTACAAACAATTTCTAAAACGAGGCAAGCTATTGATAAACAAGCAGATGAAACAAGGATATCAACAGTCTCGTTTAAAGTCATCATTTTGCAAGTTCTATGGTCGACACGATGACCTTGTCAGCAAATACAATCTGTCATTAAGTAAAATGCTAATTGTCGATTTTCATACTAATTGTTAGGTCATTATTTAATCACTGAATTGTCTACGGATTTTTCCGTTTGCCCAATCATGACAATGATCATACGTCGGAGGTGACCGGTTGACAGGGAATGTTTACTCATCCATGGCACCTGATCCCACCTCTGATGTTTTTTAGAGGTCCATGTTTGCTCTGCTCCCGATTTGTTTTGTCTCAATGGACTTTTGAGCTTGATTACTGACAGTTCGTTATCTCCATATTTCATTGTAAATTGTAAACAAAACAAATCGTCGTGTTTTGCAAGAACCTCTGGTTTTGCCTGCCCAAGTATGCAAAGAATAAATTAGTTTATATACTTGGCATTTCCTATGGTCACTGTACATATGCGTGAAATTGTGCATATAAATGCTGATTACTGTGGCTTCATCAGTGTTCGTGGGAGACCAATGTTCGTGGATTACGTGGGTTACCCTAACCTGCGAATTTAAATCCATGAACGAAAACATTCTTAAAGTATTTGTTTATTGAATCTTCTGTAAATAAGACTTATCCAGGAAATTATGCTCCATGACAAAGCAATATTTTGTACGTCCAATAGCACTGACCACCACGAATCAAAATGGTTCTTAAGTATAAAGTTTTAGCCATTCCCGCTAAGACTTATTAATGCGCCATCATTTATTAAGGGGCATTCTGTTCATGCACGAGTACAGATCGTGAAGATAAACTTTTATAAAAGAAGCATAAAAGATTATCTTTAAAAATCCCATCCATTCAAACAAAGGGTAACAAATGGATTTCAAAAAGACTTCCTTAGTTTTCCTCTTATTTGTAATTTTCCCATATTTGAATCTAATTTATATTAAAAGTCATTCGAAAATTTTACATTTTAACATGATAAATAATTCATCATGCACTTTAGTCATAAAACAGAGAAGTTTATTTTAAAGTCAGGATTTTAACATATTTTTTAATTTCTACGTCAGGGCTATATAGTGTTTTCTTCTGCTTTTTCAATAAAAATGGAACTCGCAAAATTATTGTGTTAAAAACACTCTGATTGTACACACAAGTACTCTGAAGTTGACATTAAAAAGATGCTTGAGTTTCTGATTGACAATATCTATGTGGTTTTTGGAGACCAGGTCTTCCAACAATCTATTGGAATTCCCATGGGTACCAATTGCGCCCCGTTATTAGCAGACCTTTTTTGTATTCATATGAAGCAGAATTTGTCCAAAATATTATACGTGAAAGAAGAAAACACTTGCTGTGGCCTTCAACTCGACATTTATATATATCGACGACGTATTGTCAATTAACAATGGTTATTTCCATTCTTATGTCGATACTATATATCCCGGTGAGTCTGACACATCTGTTTCATGTTTGGATATTTTACTTGAAAAGGACGTTAATGGTAATCTAACAACCAAGCTTTATGATAAACGTGATGACTTAACTTTTCAATTGTCAACTTCCCTTACTTATGCAGCAATATACCTTCATCACCTGCATACGGGGTTTACATCTCTCAGTTGATTCGATACGCAAGAGCATGCTCTACGTATGTACAACTTCTAAAACGAGGTAAATTATTGACAAACAAGTTGATGAAACAAGAATATCAGCTGTCTCGTTTAATGTCATCATTTCGTAAGTTCTATGGTCTATACAATGACCTTGTCAGCAAATACAATCTTTCTTTGTGTCAAATGCTGACTGACTTTTTTTTCATACTAATTGTTAGTCCACTATTTACAGACTGAATTGTCGACGGACTTTTCCGTTATTCCTGATCAAGGAGCACACTGTGGGTGTGACCGGTCGGCAAGGGATGCTCACTCCTCCATGGCACCTGATCCCACTGCACCTATTTTGTAATGTTAAATGGATTTTTGAGCTTGAATACTGATCGTTATCTCCATATATTTCATTCAAATCAATAAGGCTTTATTGATAATTATTTGAAATATTTAATCAGAATCAGAAAATTTTATTTAGCGTCGGATTTGTAAAAACAATAAACACAATGTTTGTAGAGATTTTGGCCGACTTAGGAAAGCATTAGAGAAAAATACATACCCTTTTCAATATCACATCCCGTTTTAGCCCTCGACCAATGTCAGCCAGAGGGCCGATAAATCAAAGAGCCCTTTCTTGATTTTTTTTTTTTGTCTATTTTCGTTTGTTCTTTGACACACAACAGGACAGTAATTAAAATTAATCACAAAAATAAATAATTAATGGTCAATTTGCCCATTTTGATTAATTGTTTACTTTTGCGTTCTACTACATTAAGCTGTCTTGCTGCTCTTTTGCAAATGTTTGAAATGTGGGCATTAAATTTTAGTTGACTATCAATTGTCACATCCAGCTGTCACCTTTGTTGGATGGTTTATAATTTGTCCTTCCTAAGTATAACATTTTCAAATTTCCCATATTTGTCAGGAATGGCTTTATACTTGGCAAGAAATTTTTATCTTTGGGTCCCTCTACACATCGTTCTGAAACATATCTCTGACAATTTTTTTCTGAACATTTCCTAATTTCCATTTGACCCATGTTTGTTTTAATTATTCAAAAACGTTTCTTTCTTTCAAATGTCTTATCTGAATACCTTGTTCATGAAAAGTGCTGGCGTCTGATTATGGTTAAGAAATAAGATATCATTTTTGGAATTCATTGGGATATAACATGAAGTTGGTCACGTGATCAAATTTTATAATGACTAAAGGGTCTTGTAGTGGATTTAAGAATGTACCAACTTCATGTATTATCCCAGTGAGAATATAAGAGATAATATTTTATTTCTTATATTTTTATTTTTATTTTCATCAGTGTTACAAAGACCAATTGTCGCCTGCGTGGCGCAGTGGTTAGAGCATCTGCTCCAGTGTCGCATATTAAGGAGTTGATCCTTCCGTCGCGGGTTCGAATTCCACTGTGGGACGTGGAGACCGGTTCTTCGGATGAGACCGTAAAAACCGAAGTCCCGTGTCGCAGTAGGTGCTGGCACGAAAAAATCCCTCACTGCTCAAAGGCCCTGGGTGCTGATTATAGGACAAAATTTGCAGCTCTCCACCGGCAAATGGTGTTGTCTCCATATGAGTGAAAAATACTCGAGAGGGACGTTAAACAACATACAAACAAACAAAACAAACAAAGACAAATTTACACTTTTAGGCTCCGTTATGGAACTGCAACTAACATACATTTACGACGCCACATTTGAAACGTCACAGTCTAGACCATCAAAATGTTTCGTGCGGTTTACTTTCATATACAAGAAAAATCTGATCACGTGTCCACGAAAATTAAGTGCCAATTACCTTAGCATTGTCATATAAAGAAACACATTGACAAATGCAAATATTTGTCAATAACTTCCATATGAAATGTTTCGAATTTTTCATCTGCTATATTAATATCATGTCCTTGGTCAAATAA